GTTTACTATAAAAGTAAAAAAGGTCACTTAAACATGCAAGGCCAACACTGGAAAGGCCAAGGCTCAAAAAAGAATGTAACAGGGAAGGAAAGCATATTCTTTAAGAACTCCATTAGTATAAGGCAGAATAAAAGTTACTGTGTTAGGCAGCCATCAAGGAAAGTTATTGAACTGATGATGCTGGGAAGGACAGTGTTTTAAACCTCTTCTAGTTTTGGTTTTCACTTAAAAGGATAGTTTCAGTGAGCTGCATTAACAAATATGTGAATACTTGGATTAGAAAAACAGGTTAGATGAGTAAGTTAGGTATTTTTCAGTGGTCTACACCTAATCAAGTTATTCTTCAATACCCGAAGAAATGACTGAAGCAATGTGAGATGTTGACACTTGTCTGTGACAAGTGAACTGTAATTGAGGTTTCCAGACACTTTGAGAGACCAAATAGTTGTTTCACCAAGGTCCATGTTGGCACTATTGTCTTTTGGCTGAATCTAAATAACATCTTATTCAGTGTCTTGATTAGACCGTCTGAATAGCCCTTTAAAATACTTAATTATCTGCTGACTTGGCATGCCTACTTATTAGATGATGTCTCAAGCATATCTTACTTAACACAGGTTATTTCAATAGCTGTTGTCTCTTACAGGGACAGCTATATTAGTAGGATGATCTAGGCAGATAATTGACACAAGTTTGTGAGCACACGAGTACTTTTTACCTACTTATTTCTGGCTACAGCTATTATTCTAATAAAAGACTATTACTTTTACATAACTTTCTTTGTCTAGGTATTGCAGGTGCAGTCCCCCCCCTTACATATTAGTGATTTGACTTGACTGAGGAATGAAGGATATCTAGTAATTTCTCCTTCCTTTCATGACCTAATTTACAATAGATGTCAACAGAGGAGGTAGTTTGGCTGACACTCAGATCCTCAAAGACTTACAGCTTGTTTCCAGAAGGTATGATTAAACAGGAATAATTAATAGCACAAACACAAGTGGGAAATGGCAAAGAGAACAGTTTGTATAAAGTAATCAAAGGGGTTCACAAGCTGACAATGCTGTTGCTAAAAAGCAGAATTTCTGTTAAAATGTGTGAGCTGGAGTGTAGGGTACTGGTCAGCTATCAGCTGAGGTATTTTCAGTTTCTGATGCCTATCTTTCCTTTTTCTTTCACCTATCTTCCCTGCCTGCTCCCTGTCCCCTCCCCCCATCCCGTTCTTATTTACAAGACAGCAGAAATGTGATGAACGCATAGGTTAAATCTGCAGAATTTTTTATGTGGATTAATTTTCTTCTCCCTCTTTAAATTCTGTTGACATCCATAACAGAACTTCAGTAAGGCATCTGTGGTGAAATGGCTTACTGAGTATGATCTTATTTTCTAGATCTCTTTTTTTTTGTGAGTGAAGTCCTTGATAGTAGAAGTTGGTTCGTGCACTCAAATTAATGAAGTTAAAAATTAAAAATATAGATCTGTTTCTTGCAGAATTTTGTCAATTGTTTGATTTTGTTGAATTATTTACAATGCCCATGAATCGGGATAGCTAAGAATTTTCTTTATAATATAGCCTAAATAAATCCTAGACTGCTATGGATATTTATAAACCTTCTGGCTTTTATCACTGTTCTGGCAGTTAGCCTGCATTTTTAACTCTAGATATTTATATAACTCCAACTATTTCTATATACAGTTTTCAAGGTTCCTTAGTTGGACCCATCAAATGAGGTTGTATCTGGATGCATTTGAGTCGTCAAAACAAAGAAATATCCAATTGCCCCCAATGTGGAGGAAAAAAACCCCAAACCCCAACAAAATAAAACAACCAAACCCTGATGTATCTTGAAGTTTTTGCAAATGAAATCCATTGGCAGTGCTCCACGACAGTAAAGTTCAGTAGAAGTGTTATGTCCTGTAACAGGCTTTTGTTTTGTGATTTTTCTGCTGCTTTTGTATGGGCTAGTTTGTGGTTTGTTTTTTGTTTGTTTGTTTGGGTTTTTTTAGTTTTGTGGCTTTTGTTTAGTTTTGGGGTTCTTGTGTTTTGGTTTTTTTTGTGGTTTGGTTTTTTTTTGTTATTGTCTTGTTTTGTTTTATTTTCCTATTCTTTTTAACCCTAGCAGAACAGTCAGGATTGTTGCTATTGCACTTGGAGCTGTGTGTCATTGCAAGTGAAACAGATGAATGTGGTAGAGACTAGATTTTGGCAATGAAGGAGAATACTGATATGGTCAGTTATGTCATTTCTAATCATGAGTGCTAAAATTGGTTGCCAGCTGGGGTGTAGTACTTTGGAACTAGTTCATGTTGACTTTTAGGAACGTTTAGTTAATTACTTTCTAGAACACTCTCAAATGTAGGAAAAAGAAAGGTTGTATAAATGTACAAAACATAGTGCTTTAGCAGTAGACTTTTGTGTGCTTTGATGGTCCATGTTCACAGTGGTCAGACCCTCAATCAAGGCATTTGTAAGTAAGCTGTAGTATTTTAGTGAATGTGTTTCAGTAATTTTATACCAAAATTGAGATGTTTGAAGTTTTACTGTTTTCTGTATCTTCTAATGATTTTAACTAAAACCATTGAACTTACTAATTGTAAAATCATAAAGAAAGGTGGTGAAGAATTATTTACCCTACTTCCCAATCCTAACATTTCGTGCAGAATTGTCAAAGCTACCTTGTTTGAAGCAGTATCAATGCCATGTTTATTTTCTGCCATTATGATGTGCTCACGTAAAATGAGCTATCACAAAATATTGTTTGTAGGTGCTTGAGATAATAATCCTTGCTCATTTTGAGTACTTTGTTATAGAAGCATTAGGGTTGCCAAATTATTGCAGTGTAAATTACTGTGCCTCCACTGAAATGTGGCAGGTGCCAAGCCCTTGATAAATGCAAGGTAATATTTGCTTTGCCAACAGTGAAAGTGAAAGAAACTAAACCCAGTTAAACTACTTGATGTGTCACATAGTCTTAGAGATTGCCTGGAATATTTTTACTGTATCTCGACTGACATGCAAAAATTGCATGTCATGCATGGTAGCTCTGGATATCCTTAGAATTAGTTGCCATGAATACGGTTATAGTTAGTGATATCTTCTTGAAGAAGCAAATGCTTTTTTTTTTTTCAATGTGTGTCTCATATAATGAAACTCTCTCTAATAGAGTGTTAAAGTGACATGTGCAGGGTCCGCTTTATCAGGGAATAAATTTAGGGTAGGATTGAACCCAATGGCATATAAAAACTGTCACCTTGTTATTACCTACAAAGACTACCTAGACTAGTTATAGTTGCTAGAGTAGTTACAGACTACTGCTGGGAATTCTTTCTTTGATTTTTCTTTTTTTTCCCTTTTCTAATGTCCCTTTCAATAAGTGTGTGCGGTAAGGCTTAGAAGCAGAACCACCAGCTCTCAGAAACACCCTTCTGCATATAGTATTTCTCTACAGAGGCTTGTGGTGACACATGTCTGATTTATAGAATTATGCTGTAAAATGATAATACATTGTTGCAAAGAATAAGTAAAATAATTTAAAAAATTATATTTTTGCAAGTACTACAAGATGGATGGGTTAATTTACCTGATTTGCTCTTCTGCAGCAGTTCAACAACTTGAGCCAATGGTTCTAATGAATCCATCTTCAAATTTAGGGTCCAGTTTCCCAAAATTGGTGATACTTTGATCAGTAGCCTAATACCATCAGCATTATATAACTGCAAGAATATTTCTTGCAGTTGGTGCTCTTGTCTCGCCATACGTTTGGCCATTCCTAAGCTGTGTCCCCGAGAGGAGAACATTATTTGGTCCATCAAATCTTAATTTGTGTCGTGGGTTGAGATAAGTACAGTTTAATGTCCCAAAAGTGGGACTTCCCTCTTCTTTCCCCAGCTTTTATTGCTGAGTATGACATCGTATGTTCTGGGTTATCCCTTTGGTCAGCTGGGATCAGCTGTCCCAGCTGTGTTCCCTCCCAGCTTCTTGTACACTCCCAGCCTACTCGCTGTCGGAGTGGTGTGAGGAGCAGAAAAGGCCTGGACTCTGCTCAGCAGTAACTAAAACATCCCTGTGTTATCAACAGTGTTTTCAGCACAGATCAAAAAAACAGCCCCATAAAAACTACTGTGAAGAAAATTATCTCTATCCCAGCCAAAACCAGCACAATTTGCAATCTCAAGTTGTGTTCCTTTCCAGGCCTATAATCTGCTTCTGGTCTCCTGAATCTCATTTATGCCGCTGCTCAGCTGTATCAGGTGTCGGTTCCATGTGCATGTGTTAACACTGTACAACTAATTCAAAAGTAACCATTGCAGATGTCCTGTCTTTCTTGTAGAATTTGCAGAAGACATAGCTTCAGACTATGTGCATGTTTTTAAGTTATGAGTTTCCTGGTCACTTCCAATGTTCTTTTGTTACAGCAGCTATTTAATGTCAAGTATATTGTAAAAACACATCTTGCAATTCAGATTTAGTGTGTTTACAGGATACTGAATTTATTGTTGTCCGAAGACATTTAAACGTTACTGAAATAGGAAGCTTTTACTAGAATGCTTCCTATGAACTTTTATAAGCCTATAAATATAACTTGCAAATATAAGCTCTTTTGAGGGCTAATCATTCACTCTAAATTTAATGTTGCTAGATTTCCACAAGCATAAGAAGCAGATGGTTGAGGAAAAAGAAGCAAACTTTTAATTTCAAAATGGATCCATACAAAATGTTACAGCAGTTTCCAACATTTTTACTTTGAGGAATCTTAGGTTCTTTTTCAAGGACGTGCTATCTCCATAAGGCAATCTCAGATATTATTTTGGAGCATGCATGAACAGTGTGTTCTTAATAATCTTTCATGAGTATTTGATATGTGGATTGTAGATAATCTTTCACAGCAAAGAGCTGAAGAACCACAAGTCAGAGACCACCTACTCAGACTTTGATGTTTAGCGTTCACCACTACTATGTTCCTTATTGTGGTTTTACTTATTGGCTTCTTTGCTTTTAGGAGCTGTAGCACTGAAGAATCTTGAAATAAAAGAAAATGCACTGGTGAGTTAGTGAAAATAAAAATAAAACTTGCAAAGACGATTCTCAACATTTTGGGCTGTACATGTTTTTTTGGTTCTTATTTGAGGTTACACTAACTTTTAAGTGAAAACTTACTGTTTTGTTTTCTCTGTACTTGTGTGAGTTGTTGTTAATTTGAGATTAAATTTAAAGGTGAAGGTGTATGCTGACTTCATTTAGCATTTTTTTCCCCTAAAAACTAAAACTCTAAGCAATTGCTAAAACTGTGTTTTGGTTAAAAGCAATGTTTTTTTCTATAGCTCATGAATCAAGAAACTTGCTTTTGGGACTGTATTTAGTCTAACATGGCTTACCAGTCTAAATAGTAGGAAAATGCTTGCTTGTTCCATTATACTGAATGGGGTTTTTTTCAGTGGTTGAAAGGTAAATTTGTTGTTAAGGTTATCATCATGGTTTTTTTCCTATATGGGAACATGTCACAGGTTGCTGAAATGAGCTTAAATGTTCTAAAACACTTTATTTCAGAGTCAACTGGATGTGCCATTTAAAGTTAAAGCAGGACATATTGGTAAGTTACAGTTTATCATACACCCATAGAAGAGTTACTAAACATACTACTTTTCCTTGCAGGTGGCTCTAGGCACCCTGAGCAAGTAATTTTCCTGGTTTCCTGGATTTGCTTGCTTTGTACTCTCTGTAATGTGTATCTTATGAAAAAAACCATCCCAGTTTGATGCAGCTTCTTTTCTTGATCTGAGATGGTAAAGTTAAAATATACTGGAGTCTTGTCCATTAACTTAAATACTAATGAGAAAAAAAACCTGAATAGACCAAAGATGAGCAACTGAGAAGGACTGTATCTCATCCCTTTTCTTGGCAAGACTCCACAACTGATTCTGTCTTCCACTTCCCTTTCTATCCTCCTTCCTTGTTTTTGCTAATATGAAATGTTTTCTCATTGCAACGGTGATGGTCTTGTAAAAGTTAGTGGTTTCTTAAAGCAAACTAAATCTAAAGCCATTACGTTTCCCTTAAACCTACCCTGAAAGTATGTATTTTCCTGTTGTCATAGTTCATTAAAACTGGCCCTTCTATGAAGAGTGAGAGAATCTATAATCTCAGGTTCCCCATGTTCACAAAACATGCACATTACATTAAGACTCTCTTCCACAGAGAAAGAAAGAAAAACATGTATTTTAAAAATTCTGAATTTGTGAGTGTTTAGCTGATAGATGATGTATGAGCTGCCCATGCTTTTCTTTTTTACAAGGGTGCTGCAGTGGATTTGGGAGGGAGCAGGTGCTGTTACAGAGAAGGAATATAATTCAAGGGAATAAGGAGAGGATCTGTAGGCTTACTGGTTCTGCTCATGGAAAAACTTGCCTCATGTTCATCTGTGTGCTGTGTAAAACAGCCCAAAGGACAGGTGCCTCAGGTGCACTGTATCTTCTGTCCAGTATAGTAATTGTTCAGAGATTTTGTGGTTGATGCTGATTATCTTTCTAATATTTTTTTACAGTCAATTATTTGCCTATATATCTCAACCTTTTTCATTTGTATTTGTAGGTCAGCTTAACCTGCAGATTCCATGGCAAAACCTTTATACTCAACCTGTTGAGGCAGTTCTTGATGGAGTTTATTTGCTTATTGTGCCCACAGCCAGTAAGTTAATGTAGAGAAAAAAGTGAGTAATGGATTGATGGGATTTCAGAAGTATCTGTATTGGGTTGGTATTGTTTTAATAAGCTTTATTCTTAGCAGATACTCCTACCAGATGAAATTAGATAATGGGAATAGGGTGTCTTTACATTTAGTTACCTAATTTTTTGCTGCTGTGTAGCTATTAACAAAAAGTGAAAATCATTGCTTTTGAAACAGCATCTTCCAAAAACATTTAAGGTTTTTTTGTGTCACACCTTTTTACATTGTGTACTTAGGCATAAAATATGATGCTGAAAAAGAAGCCAGGCAGCTCTTGGAAGCAAGGCAAAGGGAATTGCAAAGGATAGAGGAAGCAAAGCAGAAAATAGCTGACCAAGGTAAGAGTGGGGAAAGCTAATGAAAGTGACACTATTTCTTTCTTTATTTTAATCCAGAAAGATGCTGGATTTGTCACCTAGTATTTTCAATTCTTGTTTTTTCTGTTGATGCCTGTAAACCTGTTAGTTACATATTTTTAGGTGTAGCTGCCATCAATATTGCAGAATAGGCATACTGAAAATAAAAAGGCTCAAACATTGACATGATCTGATATAAATAAGGCTTTTGAAATATTGCTTGCATATGTCTTGTTTGCCTGACATTTTCTTTCCTCTTCTTTCATAAAGAGTTTCCAGTAGCAAAGAATTTTAATGGTTACACCTTTTTAAAGATTCTGTTTAATTTGTTCTTTGAACCATCTTAAATTTAACTTTTGGTTAAAGAAATATGTACTGGTCACCTTGAGTGTTTGTGTACCAGTCATACTTTTGAACAACCTGATCCATCATGCAGCCGTAGTAAAGCTGAAACTGTCTAGTCTGAGGATATAAATGTTGTAGATTATACTGAAAGGACATGTTTTTATACAACTAAAATATAATTTTATAGAAAATTTAAATATTTATCATACAAACTTTATCATTTTATTGTTTAGTGTAGTTTTAAAAACACTTCACTGCGAACAAAATGTTAAATTTGTTTTCTTTAACTTAGATAAAGTGAAGGAAGAGAAACAAGACACTTTTGTAGAAAAACTAGTCACTCAGGTCATCAAAAATCTTCAGGTGAAAATTTCCAACATCCATATTCGCTATGAAGATGATGTAAGTAGTTTTGTGTATCTCAGCATAAGGGATTGTGTACTGTACCATGAAACTGTCTGATTTCTTTCCTCCCCATTGCTTTCCACGTTGAGTGAATCTTAGTGAAGTTTTGGGAATTTCGTAGTCTTAGAAAAAAATATTTGAAAACTGATAAAAAGGTTGTACCAAAGCATAAAAATATTTATAAGCATATAGTTGGGTACAAAGAAAATATAGCTGTCACATCTTTGCTATATATACTTTTTTATTGTTGGCTATTTATTTTCAAATCTAAATTCAGAGCATAAGATAATTTTTATTATTTTCCCTCTGCTCTTTTAGATCACAAATCGGAATAACCCCTTGTCATTTGGGATTTCACTTCAGAATCTAAGTTTGCAGGTGATTTTAAATTTCAGCAAAAAGCATGTTTCATAGGTTAAGTTACGTGTTTGTGTATTATTGTGCTGTCTGGTAACAAACTGTCCAATGAAAGTATGTGTATAATCATGAGTAATGCACAGTGGTAACTACTTGGTTTATCAGATCCAGCATAAATATTGTGGCAGGGATGCCATCAAAGATAAAATGTTACCTTTAAAACAGACCTTTGAGAGGAAATTCTTAACTCTTCTGCCTGCTGTACTTTGTGGTTGCCAAGCACCAGACTTTCCTGGATTTGGGCTATTCAGAATCTATGAATATTTTACTAAAACTGCCATGAGCCCCAAGAAAGGGTGTTACTACTTGATATTGAGGAGGAAAACAAACAAAAAAAAGAAACAAACAAAAAAAGAGGATAGTATCTTGTTTCAAACTAGAGCTCGGTTGTTTGATCTGTAATCTCTACTCTGAAGTGCTTAAAGTAGTCATCATAGACTGCATTTTTTTTCCTGAAAAACTACTTAGTAGCAGCAATATGCTGATTCTGCTGAGTTGCTCCAATTCAGTAGCTTTTGCTGTGTAACTGATAATCTTAAAGAAAGCATATCTAAGTAAATGTTACTTTCTTGAATGAAGTAGTTGTCTTATGAATGCTTGTTCCTAGTGCATTGAAAGATTTCTGCCAGCCCCTTCCCCTGAACAGTTTTGCATACTGAACAAAAACTTTGATATTCTTACTGCTTCATTCTTGAAATGCATATTAGCCTTGGAAAAGTATAATAGCATATAGTGTTTCGGTTGGGCTCAAACAAGAATTCTACTTCCAGAATTAGAAAAGAATTTTAGACCCTTGTTTATCTCTTTCCAAAGAGCCTGCCAGTCACTGCATGCAAATGTGTTTTTGGGAGAAGTAGCCGTACCAAGTTTCCGCTTAAAATAATGGCTTAATAATGTTAAAACAGATGACCTCCTATTATTTTCAGAGTGAGGTTTAATTATGATGTTCTTCCTCTCTTTTTTCCTACTTTGTTTCAGTGATGATGGAAGTGTTGGTGTATTATGGATGTTGGAATAATTTGTAATTCTCATTTCAGACCTCAGATAAGAATTGGAATCCATGTTTACATGATGAAACTGCCAAGTTGTTCTACAAGGTAGAGTATAAACTGTATGCTAAAGAAAGAATTATTAACAAGCTGAATTAGACTTCCTTCCACAGAAAGTGAGATCAAGAAAACATGTAACTATATAGGCTCTAAAATAAAAAGATGTATAGTCTGCAAGGAATATTCTGAATATTTTCATTCATCCATACCTTGTGAAATCCAGATATTTAGTCTAAATTTTTTAGGCATTAATACATATGTTCTGTTGTATTTTCAGCTCGTACGACTGGATAACCTTTTTGCTTACTGGAATGTGAAATCAGAGATGTTCTACCATGGTGGTTGTGATGAGTCATTGGTAAGTAAAGCATGAGATAATGGATCTAGTATTCTAGTTTGTACTCTGAAGCATAGAACTCAGTTTCACACTCAGTTCTGCTTCTGTTTATGTCAATGTCCCAGAGAACTGTCTTGTTACTAATAACTTTTTTAGGAAAATTACTAAATGTAAAGGTTTTTATGTGATGGAAGTACAACCTTCATCTGAGTAAGTTTAAAAAAATCCTTTGGCTGTTACAAAATTATATACAATATGTGGTCATCTTACTGTTCAGTGATTTTATTAGCTAAAAATAGAAGTCTTACTCTGTGTATTTTGAATTGTACTGTGTATCAAAGGGATTATCTGAAACCTGTATTAAATTGCTAATATTTTATATTTTAAAACCTTATAATGAGATAAAAATGCCACTTGTTTTTAACTCCATTGTTTATGTAGATTAACTTAAAACAGGGAGTTGCCAGCCACAGTGTGATTCCAGAAGGTTATGATTTTGGTAAGTGGTATTTTATTTGTAGTATGTGTATATAGTTTACTTTCAATTTTTAATGCCTCTCAGAAGTTGCTACTTTGGCTGTTGCTCAAAGATCTTAGCAAGGAGTGCAGTTTAGTTCTTATGTAGGTCTCTCTGTGAATTCTGTACCATATCTGTAGCCTTAAAAAGGCTAAAGTATGAGTCTTGAGTTATGTACCATTCTAATCTCTAGCAAGCAAGTCCTCCATTTACTATAGCCAGGGTTAAAAAGAGCACTGTTAGTTTTATGGGTTTTTCTTGCTGCTTTTGCCTGAAAGAGAAAGCCTTTTGTGTCTCTTTATTTGACTACTAGAGATCTATTTAGGAATTTATTCTGAAATCTTATCTTTTTCAGTTGCTAGCTTTGACTTTTTTACAAGAAAATAAATTTAATCATCATCAGTTGTCTCAGTTTTAACATAGAAGTTCAAAATAGTTGTATGCAAAAGTGCAGGATTCAGGATTTACACTCTTTAAAATTCAGCAGTGCCATCAGAGATGCAGATATTTAAAGAATTACATCATGCTGATATTCTATGGTAAATGAAAATCCTGGCGTTTTTGGAGCAACTTTTTATATAGAGACATTGGTAGAAAGGTAGTAAGCACAAAACCTGTTTTTGTAATTTGATTTAAGTACAAATGTAGTGCTTAAACATAAGAATGATGAAAAGCATAACTTAGGATTCTAAGTACAGAGAGAAAATTAATAGAAATGCTACCACTTACAATGTGTAGAATAAAAGTAAAATAAGCTCTGCAAGAAATGTAGGGCTTAAAATAAAACGTAAACAAATTAGTGTCAACACTGTTTTGTCTTGCAAAAGTGTTTCCACTTGTATGAACCTTTCAGTGAATTTAGAATATTGGTTATGTAGATCTATCAGTTCTGCTGTTGAAATCAAAGGAATTTTATTTGTTAAAAATACAATATACACAAGTTCAAGTAATATATAGATTCTTATTGTTACATCAATGGCTGAAGCAAATGGAAAAATCGAACTAAACATGGCTTCTGAACACTGTATTGAATGCCTGATATTGCCAAATTGTGGAACAGATAAAACATTTCTTCTCTAAATACTTTTCAGGTGATGTGCTTTGCTTTATATAGGATTCATATGTTTTCTTCCATGCTTATTTGGGCTTTGATTTAGAAATGTGAGATGTTTGGTTTTATCCTCTGTTTTAAGTTATCAAACAGTGTGAAACACCACTAACATTTAAAAAAAACTCGTTATGGAATAAGAGTCATTGTAGTGAAATAAATGCTATGTTTGAAACTGTCTTATACTATAAATAGCTTGTATAATTCAAAAAATAGATTTGTTGCAAATATAAGCTATAAATTGAAACGTCTGCCATGTAACAGTGCATACAAGAAATCTTGTGAGAATGTTCCACAAATGTTTACCGAATGAAACTGGAAATTGAGCATAGACTGAACTGTATTTTAAGTTGTATTGATGAAATCTTTGTTTTGAAGTCTAGAATTTTTAAATTAATAATCTGGCATAACTTGAGCTGACATGTATTGTGTACCATTTATGGCAGTCTTAATTGTATTTTTTTTTATATTAACTTCTGTTTTTAGTATTCCGTCCAATTTCAGCTAGAGCCAAACTCCTTATGAATCCTCGATCTGATGTTGACTTTTCATCCCCGAAAATGGATTTAGATGTAAATTTACAGGATATAACTGTTGAATTCAGTAAGCCACAGGTATAAACTGCTTTTCTTAAGTTATATGTAATGTGGTAAAAAAGTTAGCTTGAAAGAATTGAAAGAAAAGTAGTCTGAAATTTTGATAAACTTACAGTATTGATTCACTTAAGTCTTGTTTATCTTTTTAAGTTATTTTCTTTTTAAAAAGGAGCTTGATTCATGTTCCGAAAAAGACAATAACACCCAGATTGACATTTTAATTTTTTTTAATTTTTTTTTTTAGTACTTCAGTGTTATGGAGCTTCTTGAGTCTATTGATATGATGACTCGAAATCTGCCATACAGGAAGTACAGACCTGATGTTCCATTGCACAACAACGCTAAAACATGGTAGGCCACCTCAGACTTTGAAAATAATTTGCTATTAATTTAAAATAATTACCAAGGGATTGTTTCTTATTAAGGAAGGTTAGAACTAATTTCCTCCTCATACACTCTTCTCTTTTGTTTCTGTATGTTCTTCTTAAGCTAGGAGTATTAAAAAAAAATAAATGGTGAGGAGCTCAAACTAAAAGAGAAGACACAATATTTGAATGCCTGCATTTGCTGTTGTGAAGACCATAAGTCTGATAGTATTTTAATTATGTTTTGATGAAAGATACCCCATTATGTGTTAGATACTATTATCTAAAAATAGGCAAACCTTTTCAATACAGATGGCAGAGATTTGATTTCTTTTCAGAAGATACCTTACAAGTATGTTTTGATTGTGTGTTATTATTTGTATGTTTTGATTTATATGTATATATGTGGGCAATTTTTGTACAAGGTTACTTTTTGGTTTTAGGGTATAACAACCTGTCAGATTTGTTGGGGGTGAGGGGAAATCATTAGGTTCCTATACTGTTCATAAGTGTGATATTTCACAGCTTGGAGTTTTGTTTAGTGGGAGTCTGCATAGCTCTAGGTGTATTTTTAATTTACCAAAAGAAATGTCAATTTTACTTCATTTGTCTTTGCTTTTAGGTGGAAATATATTATTTATGGCATCCTTGAAGTAAATGTTCAACCTAAGCTCCAAATGTGGTCATGGGAACATATTCGGCACCATAGGAGTCAAGTGAAAAACTATAAAGAGATGTATAAAACAAAGATAACATCAAAAAAACCTAGTGAAGAAATCTTAAAATTGTTGGAGGTTAGCCATTTTCTATTAAAGGCTTAAATGTTGCTCATCTTGCTATATTCTTAAACTTAAATTCCTGCATATTCCTAAGTCAGTGCTAAGTTAAATTTTCAGTGGCCAGATTTGCAACTTCATCAGTACCTTTCTCTGTGAGTAGCATTAGTAAACATTTTAGGTAATTTTCTTAAATTGGTAACTGCAGTGAAGAAACAGTGATATGCTTTTCAAGGTTCGAGTTTTCAGCTTGAGCAAATTAACTTGGGTTGCATTGAAAGAGTTGTTTACTGTCATTTCTTGTAAAACTGAGACAGGAAATCTAACCAAATGAAATTGTCAAAGAATAATTTCTCACCTCCTTTCTAGGAATTTGAAAAGGCCTTGGATATTTTTAACATCACTCTAGCACGTCAACAAGCAGAAGTTGAGGTAAAATTTCATCATTTGAGTCTAAGAACAACTGCAACATGAGGTTGTGGAGATTTTGGACAGATGCATTTTAGTTCTAGTATTTGAATTGTGCATCATACATACAGTCCTTCTATTTTCCATGTATTTCATGTTTGTTATTATAAGGTGTAGTTAGTTTCAGCTTGCAAATAAACAAAAATTAAATAGCTCTGTGTATTGCTTCTTCAGAATTACTGCTCTGGGATAAATTTATTTCCACTTTTGCTAAGGAAGATCTACTGTGGAAAATATGGTCAAAGAATGATCGGAAAAGTCACGTTGGAAGCGATTATATCCAAAGCTTCAGACTTTTTAAATTTTTCCCCAACAGCATAGACTATTAGTTTATTGCTTTCCTTCCTGATACCTTATTACGTAGACAGAACACCTGTATATGTAGTATGTTGACTTTTTGTTATTATTTGCAAATGTTATTTGAGATACAGGAAATGGAGACTGTATTTAGGTAGTTAATCACAATTAGGCAAGATAATGTAACTTGAGTAGTTACACTTTATTTGTTTGCCTTGTTTTTCATATGTCAGTGTACTGCTTAGTTTGCAATGTAGTATCTGAGCATCATTCCAGGAGACTGAAATGAAATCTGTATAAGTTTTCTGACGTATTCCTTCTGTGAAGGAATCTTTCTCCATCAATAGTCACTGTGACTAAAAAGTAAACAGAATATGATGTTTAGAATCTGAAATAATGTATTGTTAACTAAACTTCATGAATGGTAATAATTTCTTGTGGCAGTGCCTGAAAGAAATTTAGGGTGGTTTTTTTTGTGGATTGTATTAACTGTGTATTAAGACAACTTAGAGTTGAATTTCAAGGGCTTGCTTTTCTCCAGATCTTGAAATCAGGCTCCCAAGAACTCACATTTTTGAACATGAAACCATCTGATTTTCTGGAAACTTTGTAGTAAGAATTACGTATTCCAAATCTTGGCTGATTTTAGATCTTTATCGCTAGTGCCCTAAATACCAAAAACACCAGCTTCAGTGAGCCAAGCAGCAGGTCTCTATATCAGATACCTTAAGAAATTTTGTGCTTTCAGTCTAGAGACGTCTTCATAGATGATTGATCTAAGTCAGAGTATGGGATGACCATCTTGATTCTCTTTCTTTTAGTCAAAACAATTTACATTACTGAGTAATCTTTCCACTAACTATTACTGTATTTATTGCTAAACCATTGTAAATGGAAGATCAGGGAAGCTCAACAGGGTTTCTTCAGAAAATTTCTTTAATTCCCATACTGCACGGATGTTTTCTTCATCCTCACAGAAGTACAGTTCCTCTCCCTTCTGTCTGTAGCCTTTTTTACCTTGGATTTTGGTGCCAGCTGTTGTCTCAGACATGTTGAGAATCAGAGCTTTAAGCATAGCTTCTTTTTCTCTGTGGCAGTTGTCCTTCAACACCAACTCTTTGGTGTCCTAGAAACCTGTAATTTCAGAGGTTTAACAGTCCTTTTTTCTAAGACTCTTCTCATTCTTTCCTCAGACTGTTAGCTCTGTAACATCTGCTTAATGACTTGGTATCCTTTATAAAGAGGACTTTGGAGGTTTTTTTTCAAACTTCTTGAGGCCTTACGTTGTTTAGCTGACATTCTGTGTCATCTTTCCGAGGTGAATCAGTAGTATCGGTTCAGAAGCCTTTATGTTTTGGTGATGAGTTGCGACTTCCATTGGCCTGTGGGTGGATAGATCTGACAAGTCCCTGAAAAGTTCTGATTTAGAGCCAGCTATTTTCCCTATTTGGGTTGTAGAGAGTTCTTAGGTTTATTTGAATGCTGAGAAGGAATACCTGTCTCACTCACTTTAGGTATGACATTCACTAGAATATCCCTAAATTTAGGGTTTATCTGCAAGTGTTCATATCTTTTTGTTATTAGTTATGAAGAGTAATAACTGGTTTGTGTGGTTTACTACAGATTTGAGAACTCCTCTGTATCTTGGATTGCTTGATGGTTTGTCATCACTTATGCCAAACTTTCAGTGAGCAAGTTGTGTAGTTTGTACTTTCTGTGAGAACCCATACTGGGTTCATCACTGGCATCAGACAGGATGTCCCTTAGTTGTTGAAATAATTAGTGTGGGACAAAGGAGGGCTTCCGTACTGTTGTTGCTGTATGTATGAGATCCAGGAATAGTTTTCTATATTCCTTAGAGTAAATACTCTATTACAAGAGTAACTGTTTTTTAAAATTGCTTTGGACATCTGTCTTGAAATTAAAATTATGGCAATCGTTTAAACTTTGATCTGGGATGACACACCAGATGTGTGGTTTCACGGCCTTGTGATATGCTTTAAAAAAAGATCTTTCTCCTGGTTACTGTTTTAAGCAACAAGCATTACATCTGCTGATTACTGTTACACAGTAAGCATTACAATGAAGCTTAACAGATTGGCTTCAAAATACATATATTAAAATAGCAAAACAGATGTAAATAATTCATTGTATGTGTGATCAGTACTATGCGTATTAGGTATATTGTTGGGCCTGTTGTTCAGGCCTCAGTACTTCAAATGGTCATCTAATGATGTTTTGATGTGTTACAGCATTTCTTGGATCTACATTTTTCTTAGGAATAGGAAGAAAGAAGCGTGAAGAAAATTACTTGTTTGTGGGGGTTTTTTAATTTCAGGCAACTAAGGCTGGATTAAAAATCTACAGACCAGGAGTGAAACAAGATGATGAAAATTCTGGTGGGTGGTTTAGTTGGATGTGGAGCTGGTCAAGACAAAAAAAGGATGAAAAAGAACAAGAAGTAAAAGGTTCAAGTATGTTCATGCATTAGTATTTTTTTAATATATTATTAAAAACTACTTATTAAAATAACGAGTCCCTAACAATGGAACTTTGGGTTTGTTTAATATTTGGGCTGTTGGGTTATTGATGTTTACAAAGTAAATGTAAAGCTTTTTTTTTTTGTCTGATGAAGTTGTTAATTGTATATTACAGAAGTTATCTTACAATTCCTTCCATAGGTTTGTCTGAACTAGCTTCAGTTTGTGGTTTATCCAGCCACAGTTTTTGCATTTGTCTGCATGATCTATTGTGTATGAGAATTTGAAGACAGTGCTAGAAAACAGTAGCAGTTAATGGAATGTAAACAATTTTACTTACATTCATTTTATAATTTGGCTATTTTATGCAGTGTATTAGAGTTTGATTCACTTAAGTACACCTAGTAAAGGTTGTGGAACATGGCAAATAAATGAAAAAGTTTGCTTCTATTGTTAGTAAGCTAGGAAATGGAGTAGGTTGGAATAAAAGTATAATTGGATTTTAAACCATGCTTTAGGAGACTTAGGGCTTTCCTTTACACCTCAGGATTTTTGCTTTTACTAATTCAGGTCAATGTTGACTATATATACTGTATGTTCTAGAGCTGCCAAGCACTGGAAATTGTATAACCGTATTTGTACTTTTCAGATAGCTATATTGAGTTTAACTAGCCTCTTGCTATGTGACAGGTCTTGAAGAGCTGATGACATGTGAAGAGAAGGCTAAGCTTTATGCAGCAATTGGATATAGTGAAACAGCTGTGGATCCAACACTTCCAAAATCAGTAAGTCATAGCTGACTAGCTTTATCTACTGGTAAAAATCTGAAGTTGATAGAAAGTCTCTTTTAAAATTACTTGTAGTTCAGTCTGTATATTTGAATACTGTTCTGACACTTTTCAATTAAGTTACTGCATTCTGGATTTGTGCAGAACAGAGCATCCTTAGATGTAGTTTAAGAAGAGTGGTTATAGAGCATACTGTGGATATTCTGAAAAAGTGCAGAATTAAATTTTGCTCACTCATGTTAGAATAAAATCATATAAGTAGTATATCATTATTTTGAGTTACGAAATGCTTCATATATTCTCTTACAATATTCAGAGACCTTTTTTAATAGCACATTAAGTGATTCACTGCGGTCTTCAATGTGACTGATAGTAGATGAGGTAGAGTAGGTGAGTGAGTATATAAGGAAAGAGGTGATTGAACAACTGTAGTGGGGAAGAGCAACACTTTTGAAGCATTTATAAGTAGTCTGATAAGTCATGTTTATGTGAGAAATGATGCACGATACAATGGACTGCCTTTGAGCTATATACCAGAGGCCCTTTTTCTCAAGATGTAGTGTAGAGACGGTAAAAACATGTGTTTGTAAGCACAGTTTACTTTTGCTCTAACCCTACGTCTTCGTTATCACTGTTTGGGAATGACTTTTACACCAGCTATGATACAAACTATTTATAGCACTAGAAATATAGTATTGAACCGATACTTGTAGTTTTAATCTTTTGATAAACAATATTGAAGTGTATATTAACATATTTTGTTATCTACTTTTGTTGTTTTTCCTGCATATCTAGTATGAAGCCATGAAATTATCTGTGAAGTTATTAAGCATGTCTGTCTCAATAAGAGAAAACAAACAAACTCCTAAGCTGGTAGAATTTGCATTAACTGGTTTGAGTACAGTATTTACCCAGCGACCAGGTGCACAAGCAATAAGGTGAACTTCTTCTATCAAACCGTTTTTGCTCCTCATGAAATGCTAATGACAGCTAATAGGCATTTAAGGCTTTGTTATGATGTCTAACTTCCATTTTTCACTGTTGTTTCTTGTGCAGTTTGGGTGCAGAATCATCCTGCAGCTGATGGAAAAAGTGAATCAATATATATATTTCCATGATTAAGTTCTCTCCATCTTGAGAATTTTTGTGCCAATACAGATTTTCTCCCCTTTTTCAGTTTATCATTTTCACATACAAGCAATCCAGTTAATAACTTCTTGCTTTGAAAAGTGACTGTTACTCTGTTTGGAACTTAATCTGAGGAAGGTGATCTTATAACCACTTGTGTATAAGCATTTAACATGACTGAAAAGTTCTTGAGTTTTCAGTTGACCTTTTAGATTTGCAGAAGTTGTAGCTGATGATTTTGGCTTGGTTTTGTGCTCTGACGGTAGATGTCAAAAAGCAACAATATGTGGAATATTTTATTTTCATTTCAAATATAATTTCTTACAAATTCTGAGTACGGGTAGCTGTCACGTTTTAAAACTTGTCCCCTCTGCTTTAAGAGCATATTATTTGGTTCTGTTGATCTTGCTGAGTTTTATGAATAGGGTTGGGTTTTTATTTAAGTTTTACTTGCAGTTTTTGTTCCCCTGTGCTTCTAAATGGCCCTAATGCTGCTATCATACTGAGAAAAAGGGAATAAATGTATTTTTTACAGTGAAATATTTTCCTTTGAGTGTTTAGAGATAAAGATCTTCAAGTGAGAACTGTTAAAGTGGTGGACAGGGTATTGGAAAAAAAATAAATCCAACACATAAAATATACTTCCTCAGAGTAGTGATGCTATTAATCTTGTGGTTGTCTTGCGGTGTTTCTTTTATTTCTCTGCACTGGAACCCTTCCCTTTCTGCTGTATCTCTCTTCCTCAGTGTAAGCTGTGCCGTGTAATTCCTGAGCTTATACCACAGAATTCCCATTTGCATGTCTTTTCCCTGCACTGACACCTATCCTAATGAAGAGTGTATGAAGTGAATAAGTTGGACCCTCCTCTTTCTTATTTACTCAAGGGTGGCTAATAGACACAAAATATAATGAAATGGAAAACAGTTAACAGGTGGATATATGTGTTATATCCTCAGACTAAGCTATTTATATTTGAGGTAGGGTAGAGATACATTGTTGTCGTTCTTGTTTCTTGGGTTGGGGTTGGGATTTGTTTTTTTTTGGCTTTCAGCTCATTCCTTATACTCTTACCATCTAATTGTAACTAGCCAGATGGATATTACATCTGAACTTGCTGTTTACCCTTCTTTACAGATTTGAAACAGAAATTACCTCACTTGAAGTTACAGGCATGTCCCGAGAAAAGTGTAAACCCTGTCTCCTATCTTCTCGAACAGTCTATTCGGACAAGAGTACTTCACTCTTAAGTATAATGTTTGAGACTAATCCTTTGGATGAGAAAGCAGATCAGAGGCTTAGAATAGAATCACAGCCACTGGAAATAGTATATGATGCAGTAAGTAAATATTTCAATTAGTTAGAAATCTTGAAAAATCATACTTCATGGTAAATTTGCCATATATTGTTTTTGCTTTATTTTAACAGATGACGATAAATAGCTTAGTGGATTTCTTCAGGCCTCCAAAAGATGTACATTTAGAGCAGTTGACATCAGCAACTCTGATGAAGCTTGAAGAATTCCGTGAAAAAACATCAACAGGCAAGTGCAGCATGCTTTTCTGATTACACACTCAGATTTTAGATTTCAGGAATGTTGAAATATTATATCTTACTGGATGAAGATGCATGGATCCAAGTCATAGCTTTCTAACATAACACCTAAATAAGCTCTATCTCATTACAAAGCATTTGCTCTAGGTGTTGGATAATGAAAACTGAAAAAAACTTAGTCTTTTTATTAATCACAGTTATTTTATTTTGGAAATCTGGAAATATAGTTGGCATCCAGGTCTTCATTGACTAATCTAGCTTTCCTGTGCCAGGACAGCCTTTGATAGTTTTGGAACAGTTTTGATTGCTTTCTTACCAATGTGGATGTGCTGCAGTGTTGTGTTGTCATCTTCATAGTTTACTTCTTTACTTCTGTGATCATCAGCTTGTTGCACCTGCTAAATGCTTAATGGGTTGTAGCTGCATCCTAAGGCAGTTTTCAGTGCCTTGCTTGGAGCAAGACCATTCCTCTTCAAATGAACAAAATAAAAATTTAATCTCAAATGTTTTGACAGTCTGAATTTCCCAACAAATTGCATTATTTTTAAACAGAATTTTTGTAAGATCTTATACTTGCTGGTCTTCAAGATGGAGATGTTTGTCAGGAGAATCAGTGTAGACTTCAGTATCTCAGTAGTAACAGCAGTAGCAGTTTGACCAGTGCAGTTGGCTACTTGCAATAAGAACTTCTACAACAATTAAATTTCTCAAACTACATAGGACAGCGGGTTAATTTGGCAGTTGCCAGGTTGCAGTACACATTCCAGTTATTCTCATTTAATCTCTGCTCTGTATGAAACTTTTTTGGATTTGCATGCATCATGTTGCTGTCTCTACTTGTCCATTAGAATTGTTAGTTATCATCTTACCTACTTGGTGCTTCCTTAAAGACTGCCTATAATTGTTGGTCCAGAAGAAATCTGAAGAGCATCTGTATCTGTAACTGAACTTAGTTATCTAGCACTTTTTTTCATAGTTTAACTCCAGCCAGCAACTAAGCATCACACACAGCTGCTTGCTCACTCCACCCTGAAGTGTAAAAGAGAGTTGGAAGAGTGGTAGTGAGAAAATTTGTGGATTGAGATAAGGACAATTTTAATAAGGAAAGCAAAAGCTATGAGCGTAAGTGAAGCAAACAAATTCATTCACTACCTCCCAGTGGCAGGCAGGTGTTCAGCCAATTCCAGGAAAGCAGGGCTCCATTCACACGTAACAGTTTCTTGGGAAGACAAATGCTGTAACTCTGAACTCCCCATAACTTTCCTCTTCCCCCAGCTTTACATGCTGAGCATCACTTTATATGATATAGAATATCCCTTTGATCAGGAGTGTGAGGAGCAGAAAAGGCCTTGACTCTGTGTAAGCACTGCTCAGCAGTAACAAAAACATCTCTGTCATCAACACTGTTTTCAGTACAAATCCAAAACATATGTAAACATCCAAAAACAACCAAAAAAGAGAAAAATAACTCTGTCCCAGCCAAAACCAGTACACATTCACAGATCATTTAAAGCTAGACTTGAATTTCTTTTATAGTTTAATTCCATGGCTTCTATATGGATTAGCTCATTTATATTTACTAATTATATTATTTTTCAGGTTTATTGTATATTATTGAAACCCAGAAAGTTCTTGACCTCAAAATCAACCTCATGGCTTCATACATCATTGTTCCACAAAAAGGATTCTATGACCATACATCAAATTTACTACTTCTGGATCTTGGTAGTCTTAAGGTATGTATTTATGTAATGAAGTAACTTACTGAGTGTGATAGGTTTGGCTTTTATGTGATTTCAGTTTCTTAATTTGTATTTTGTGGTACTGATTAAGTAAAAGTTCATCTTACAGTTACTGTGTTAAGTATTTTTTTTTACACTGGTTTTCAGTCAAGACAAAAATTATCGAACTCTTCTCAGTTCATTCTTTCAACCCAGAAGAATTGTTACAAAATAATCCTCCCCTGCAGTGAAACCACTGTTGATGCTTTGAAGTGTTAGGTGGAAGATGTTTTATAAGGTTTTACCTTAGAATATAAAATAGTACACTTTTTATCTATATGATTAAGTGGTCGTCTTTTTTTTAATATTACTACTGTTATCAGTTGCCTTCTGGTTTTTCAGTTTACTTTAAAATGAGAAAAGTAAACATACTGGCAGTTTATAAGGTAACTTGAATAAAATAAATATGTTTGAGACACTTCATGCAAAGTTGAAGTAAAAAAAGGTAGTTTAATGATGTATTTAAAATGGTAATTTAGCACTGTAGAATCATAGAAGAGACTGTTCCTACATATTACTCATTGCTGAACCCTTCTTACTCACTGGTGAACTTGTGTTCTTCAGGACAAATGATCATACAGGTAGATGGGGAATTTAATTGTTGTTTTTTTTACTTATACTCTGGGTAAGAATGTTTCAGCTACTTAGAATCTGTTTAGATTGCCTTATATGCTTTTTAAATAAAAACTTACTTTCAAACCTACAGTCTTGCTAACATAAAATAGTTTTCCTAAGTCTCTGCAACAGACTGATTTTCTGAGCAAGTGGATTTCAGTTAGAATGTATCAGGTGCTTCAGAAATTTACATTAATAGAAGATATTGCTATATAGATACTAAAAATAATTTGGATTTACATCCAGATCGCTTATTTCCATGACTAATCATTTTACCAGCCCTTCTGAATGCTGGTCATTAGTAGGCACTTTGTATAGTTCGGTAATCAATCTGTGTATTGGCTGGGTGCTTGAGACAGCCTCCTAGATCTAATGGAGGGGGGGCGAGAGAACAGCCCACCTCATTTACTCCACCCGTAGGAAATTACTCTCAGAATAATACATAGAAGAACACATTTCAAAATCAGACTCCAGTAAATGTGTCTGTGAGGATTTTTTTCTGAAATGAATGAGGAATTTTCATAGTGAATATAGCTCTTAGATTGGTTCTTGTCCTTTAATAAAAATTAGAAAGCAAGATGAAGGAACTGGGCAATACGCAAAGTTAGATACCTCTAAGGATATGATTAATAATTCTGTGTCCACTTTGAGCGACATATGCTTAAATGAGATGTAGGTCATTCGTTGAAGGAGTATGTTTAATGCAAAACAAATAGTCTCTTTTCCTCAGTAATATACTGGATAAAGTCAATCCCCAAGGGGGAAAATGACACATAAAATTAAAACTGTATCTCAATGCAGCTACATAAGTGGGCTTAATTAAGGTTGCGTGTACAATATCAATTTGGTAATTCTGAATTTTTAATCTGCAAATTATTTTTAATGTAAAAGTTGCCATAGTTCAGTGGCACTGGAGAAAGAAATGCTGTGCCTTAGCCACTAGTATTTAAGCCCGTTTTATGATTTTGAATCTTGTCTTGATTATTACCTGCATCTGACAAAACCAGATATGGATCCAAAATTATTAGATGTTTAAGGATGAAGACAGCCACATTTCATCAGAGATGAATAGCAGATACAAATGAGAAATACTAAAGAAGTTTGGGCATCTCAAAGCTGAGTCAAACAGATATTGACTGATATTGAAGACATTGAACATTGATGAGCAGTGTGAACCCACTTTTCCCTTTTATTCTGCTTGACTGATATGTAACAGAGTAATGCCCATCACTAAATCAACAGGATTAAAAATTTTTAAATACTGAAAAACTGAACAGTTATTCTGCTGATTACAAAGTATTTGAGACTTTATACTTTAAAATATGGGTCACTTTCTAAAGGAAATTATTCTATAGAAAATAGATGTAAAATAATTTTTTCTTTTTGTTTCTTGAAGAAGAAATGGAATTAAATACTCTCAATTTTTTGTTTTGATACAGACTGCTAATTTTAGATATCACTTCTGCTGTGATATTTTTAAGACTCTGAGCCCTTATAATGAGGGCTTTAATCTTTTGTCACAGTAGGATCAAATATTTGTAGAACTAGTGCTTTGAATATTTTAAAAATTGTTTTATGGTTTTTTTGTGACTGTTTTTAAGATGCAAAGCAAAGGTCGTTCTGATATATCAGAACTCAAAGTAGGACAAAGCACTATTGAAGATATAATGTCAAGAGCTTATGACAGTTTTGATGTCCAACTCAGCAGTATACAGTTACTTTACAGCAAATATGGTAAGTATTCATGAATAAGTAATCTTTATGAGTAAAAGTATTTTGATGGTTGATGTGCCTTTTATATTTTTAACTGAAGCATCTTTGTAACATCTTTAAACTCATGTTCTAAATTCTGTTCTATGAGTGTGTTAGGAATTTCCAAAACATACCTTTGGGCCTTAGATTCCAACCTTAGCTTTGCTAAATGAATAAACTTACAATAAATGTCTTCAAACATAAGGGTTCTCATTTGATTTGTTGCATAGTAAATATAAGAGCATATTTAATTAATTTATGATATTTTCCCCCAGTGCCTTTTTCTTTCTTCCTTTCAAATTTAAAGCCGAATCCATGAGTAGTTGTATATTTGATTATTTTGTGAGGGTGAAGAAAGGATCAGAATGTCCTATTGAATGAAACTTTTACTATTAGTTAAGGAATTAACAGTATAGAAAGAGTCAGAACCAGAGAAGTCTTAAGCATTTAATTTGTAACCCTCTGATTCCAGAGGGGAATCCAGAGCCTGAACTTCCAGTACTGTGCATATTAAGAATTGGGGCCTTAGAAATCTGCAGTGTGGATGGAGCAGCTGTTTAGATGTGAACAGTAGAAATTAAGTAGTCTTGTATGTCTGAAGTTTGGATCTTGTGTAATATACATGTATTGATAGAGCTTGTGTCATCTAAGTTTTTAACAATGTATACTAACTAATATCAGATACTTTAATTTTGTGATATGTGTAATGAGAAAGAATCTCTTTCAGTGTTTAAATCTTAGGTTTTCTTTGCTCTTTTAGATGAGAACTGGCAAGAGGCTCGGAAGCTGAAATATTCATCTCAACATATCTTGCAGCCCTTGGATGTAAAAGTGGAATTTAGCAGGGCTATGGTTGTTACAGATGCAAGAATGCCCAAGTATGTGTTTTTTCCTGTTTTGAAATTTTATGGTAAATGACTTTTTTCTGGGGGGG